TGGTGGATTCTCCATCCCTGGAGGTGTTTAAAAAAAGGGTAGATGTGGTACTTAGGGACATGGTTTAGAGGTGGTTTTGTCAGGGTAGATTAATGGTTGGACTTGATGATCTTAAAGGTCCCTTCCAACCTTAGCGATTCTATGATTCCATGATTCTATGACTGACACACCTTATGCTGTGTCAGATTCAGCTTCTGGGTACAGTACAAAAGTTAAGTTGCTTGAATGTTACAAACACAGCAGCCTCTGGCTAAGGAGTACCTGTACAAGAAGAGGTGCATTTCTTTTTGCTGTATGTTTTCCTCCCTACTCTCTCTAGGAGAGTAGAAGGAGAGCAGGAGTCTCTCCCTGTTCTGCTGCTGCATCCTCCCAGAAAGCAGGACTCTAACCCTGTGCTTTCTGTCTGTGTTTGAGACTCCAGCCCCATCATGTCATATACCTCTTTCACCTGCTTGTAACTGCTTTGATGTCCTCAGCCAGAGATGGCCGAGTACCTTTACTTCCATTGCAGAGCTGGGATGGAAGCTGGCAGCCCCTGCCACACAAAGTAGCAAGATGTACCTGATTTATAGTGGGTATCTATGCAAGTGTCTGCTGTGCTACTAGTAGAAGGCAGAAAGGCAGAGCTGAGAGAAGCTGGCCCTGCACCTGGCACAGGCAGATTGGTTGTATGTGGTGGGCATATCACTGTTTTGGGAACTTCTAGTATTGCGTATCACTGTCTCCACTGCCGCAATAGCTGCGGGCACAAATGTTTTTGGTCAGAATACTGTGATTCCTTCCACTTGAAATGGGTTGTGGGGCCTTCTGTCTTCCTCTTTAGCATGTCCTACCTCTTGAGCAGTATCAAGACAGAAAACAGCCAAGGGAAATGTTTCTCTCTGCAGAATAGAATTTTTAAGGAGTAATTGCCAGGAGGAGGGAAGGGCTTTTGTCTTGCATGTGCAAATTGGTACCTCACGCCTATTAGCGACACGATCCATCAGGTAACAAGCTAGTGGTATTCTACTCTCCATTTCACTTTCTCTAATGTGAGCATCCTATGTGTATTTTATGGCCATCAGCAGCAGCCTGGGAATAACTCTTAAACTGTTGGTCGATTTCAACCAACTCTGACGGTTTTGTCAAGTCTTAAAGATAGGTATGTTCTGTAATTACTGTGCTAGTAGGCAGCTAGGTAGAGGCAAGAGACAATGTGTTATGATCTTATGCGTTGAAAGAGGAGGGTCTGTGGTGAGGCAGTGACTCATTTGGAAGCAGGAAGGCTTCAGCAAGAAGAAGAGAATCTTCACCTTCTTAAGACCCGTGGCTCATTTGGGAGCTGGAAGTCAAGTATATAATAAACAGGTATCAATTAAGGAACCATTTATTATTTTGTGGGCTATAATGCATTTTTCTCATGAGAAGTGTGGCTATACTATTTTGTGCTGTGCTGCACTACAAGTGCAAGGAATGACGAAGTTTGGTCCCAAATAGGGAGGGGTATTCAAGGTGGGGGTAAGGATATCTTTATTTAGATACATAGAAAAATAAGCGCTGCCATTTTTAAAAGTTGTTGCACCATTGGAAACTCTTTCCTATCTGCAGCATGGTATATTTAGTCAAATATATCCTTTGAAAGTGTGCATAGTTAATGTGTCCTGGCTTTCACCAAATCACATTAACCTCACGTAGCCCTCAAACTGGGTGTGCCAGCTGAACTTCTAGAGTATTTTTTTTTCTGTTTAATTGTCATATTATGAATTCTTGTACCAGCTGACAAATACCAAAGAAAAAAGTTCTCTCTAGGTTATGATGAGAGAAATAAGAAGAGTATATCTGTCTTGCTCTTGGCAAAAAGGACCCCATAAGAATCTTCTAATTAGAGCAATTTCATTCTGTCTGTCTGAACCTAACAAGCAGTATCAGCTTGCTAAGGTGCAGCCATGGGAGATGATCCTCTAATGAGAGGATTAGGCGTTTATTTGTGGTTTTCCACAGACTGTGATGCTAAGCACATGTCATGGGGCGTGCGAGAGCTCCCAGCCAGTCCCCAGTAACCTTTCCTTTACCTCTCTCATCTTTGCTCTTCTGTCCCCTCCTGAATATCACCTCACTGATTTTTCTGTTCTTGATATTTCAGCTTGGGATAGATTTCATAAATTATGTTACACATGGTTTCTGTGCATTATTGTATTTGAGTCTGTAAATAACACAAAACCTAATGGAATATAAAATTTTTCAGAATCTTGTTTGGTAGCAAATCATGTGGGGAAGTGTCGTGGTTTAACCCCAGCTGGCAACTAGGCACCACATGACTACTCACTCCCTCCTCCCACCCGCCCCCAATGCAGGAGAGAATTGGAATCGTAAAAGTGAGAAAACTTGTGTATTGAGATAAAAACAGTTTAATATTTGAAAAAATAATAATAATAGTAGTAATAATAAATTGTAAGGAAAAGGAAAATAACAAAGAGACAGAAATAAAACCCAAGAAAGATGAGTGGTGCTAATGAAAACAATTGCTCACCACCAACCGGCTGATGCCCAGCCAGTCCTGAGCAGCAGCCCTCTGCCAATCTCCCCCCTAGTTTTACTGCTAAGCATGACATCATATGGTATGGAATATCCCTTTGGTCAGTTGGGGTCAGCTGTCCCAGCTGTGTCTCCCACCAACGCTTTGTGGAGCCCCAAGCTACTCACTGGTGGGGCATGTGGGAAGCAGAAAAGACCTTGACTCTGTATAAGCACTGCTCAGCAATAACTAAAGCATCCCTATATTATCAACACTGTCTCTAGCACAAATCCAAAACACAGCCCGATACTTGCTACCCTGAAGTAAATTTACTCTATCCTAGCCAAAACCAGCATAGCAAACGTAGTTTGAAATGGGTGAGATTAAATGATGGTTCTGTCTAAGAGGCCATCATTAAACTGGCTTGTCTCCAGCACTGCCACTTTACAAAGTGCATTTAGTGTATTGTTTTGTCTTTAAAAAATGAGAAGAGGGGTGCTGGAAGAGGAACCAGTCCTGGGGCTCCTGAATTGTGATACCTCTACCCTTTACTGTACAGAAGCTTCTTAATATTATGTGAGGTGGGGGAGAAATCCAGTCTGCTGCCTTAAGGCCAAGGAACGAATGCTGCCTTCTGCTTGCGGCCCAAGGATTGTATCCAGTGCTGCTGTTGCCACCACTTAGTATAGTTCTCTTTTTGTAATAACGGTGCCTGAGCAAAATACATTTGAAAATCTCCCACTTTAATAGGTTTCTATTCTCATAATTTTGAATGGTTTAGAAGACCCTATTTTATCAAGATAACCGTTTCCTTTCTATTTTTGCATTTCACCTTGAATTTGATGTTTTGTTCTCTGGGCACTAATGTTAATATGAGTTCTGTATTGTACTTATTTACATGATAAATCTCTCTTCCCAGATCATTCGACTTCAAGTGGTACATCCTCGTTTAAGCCCAGCCGATCACTGGTTTCTATTCCCACTGCCCATGTGATGCCGTCTAATGCCAGCTCTTCACTTTCCAAACACAGGGAAGCTTTCAAGTCTGATGGCTCAAAATGGAGTACAAGCTTTGTACGGTCAGGAGGAGGCAGAAATCAGGGTGCACTGGACAGTTCTCTTGACATGAAGGATGTAAGACCTGTAAGAAAATGGTCCTCCTTGTCTAAACTCAGCTCACCAAATACCTTCAGCCAAGATGGTAGTGGTCACTCAGTGGACTCCAGGGCTAGTACAGACAAAGCTGTATCACTGCAATTAAGGACAAATGGGCCAAGTTGTTTGCATGATAGCATGGAGTTGCTAAAAATTGAGGACAAAGAAATGGGGAAAAAACGATCTTCTCTACTGGACTGCAAATACAAATTTGAAACGTGCAGCAAAGATGATTTTGTTTCAGATTCCTCAAGTAGGAGACATGCCTTAGACTTGACCTACAGTGCCTTACCTGAAAGCAAACCTACGGCAGCCAGTTGTGAAGCTTTCGGACAGAGATATGCAACTCTGGGACAGCAGGCTGTGAGCGGAGCTCCCATACAGCCAGCAGTGAGGACTCAAATGTGGCTTAAAGAACAGTTACGTGCAAATCCCCTGGACTGCAGGACTGCTGAGGAACCTTACGGCGTAGCTGCATGGCATGTGCAGCAGCTTGAAGATTTTAGAACGGAAGGTGAACAGCCTGTGCAGGTAAGGCTAAAGCTTGGTGTTTGCTGCCATCATGTGGCATCGTGTTATACCTGAGGAATGACATCAAGCAATTTTCAGTAAACTAGGAAAGGGAACAGGTCCTCTTAACCAGGTGGTGGTGTCTTTAAACTTTGATTGGGGATGCTGCTGCTTGCTTCCCAATATTGCCTGAGTGCCAACGTTGTTGGTTTTTTGTTGGTGTTGTTTTTTTCTGACATCTGCTTACAGTTTAGTCTGATTCAGTGTGCCTGTCTATGTGAGACTAGCATCTATTTTTCTGAAGCTTGACACGGTAAGAAGTTAATCAGGTAACGTTTGCAGTAGCTCTTAAGAGACTCTTTGGTCACAGTGTGGTGGGAGAATGTGTATGTATTTTGATCTGAATGGATTTGCAAAGACGCTGCATTTATGCATTCACTAAAAGAGCAGTGACTCCCGCATACTGCGGGGATGAATATTCAGTATTACAATGCCTAGGACTTAAAAAGTGAATTCAGTTTGATATTACTGCTTATTTTTTAACTAACTAGAATTAATTAATAATAGGCAACTAATCTGGTTTATTTAAATAAAATTATGTATTGTTTTTATGTGTCATACTTGAAGTATATTCATACAGAAAACATCAAACATGGTTTTAAGAGACAGATAACCCTTTCTAACATGACAATTCACAATGTTTGTTTCCAGTTCTTACCCTAATGGTAAAAGATAGCTTGTGAAGGAAGGCAGTATTTAAAATCTAAATGTTCAGGTTTACCTATGTAGGTAATACTTGACTTGCCAAAAAAATCCCAACTGGATTACAATATGTAGATTTTCCTGAAAGTTAGCTTAAGGTTAGCCTAGGATATTATCAGAGCAGAGATAATCTAGCTGTATGTACAAATACCTGTTTTCTCCAGCCTGAAATATTAAGTAGTTTACAGAGTTGTGCTGAAACTTTGTTGTTTCTTTCACTGTGTGTTGAAGGAAAGACTGACAAGTTCAGAGGTTGTCAACATCTAATTTTGCTCTTAATAGTGATCTGGGTTTTTAATATTTATTTTTTTTTAACCTTAAACTTGAATCCAATTAATATGGCTGAACTAACATTAATCCTTAAGGGTCTCTCTAAAAAACCACCATTGTTCCAGGTAGCCACCCTTTTACATTACCCTTGCTACTACAGAAACCATCATCTTTCTCTGTGCTTTTTGAAGATTTCCATAGTGAGAAATTGCCCAGGCAGAGAGTGGATGTTGAGGGGTCCTCTCAGAGCCAAAGCGACAGAAACCGTGGCTCGCTACTGAGGCTGGGTCGGGGGCACTGCCAGCTGAGCTCTTGGTGGCTGGGAGCTACCAGTGGCACTGGGGAGCACACGAGGGGTTTGGGGAGTGACAGCAGGGTACCGTGGAGGACCTCAGTCCGTCCATTCATTTAAGTCTTCCTGACACCTGTAGGATATGTAGCTGGCTGCAGCTGTCAGCAGTGCTGTCTGTGAGGTTTGCACACAGATTGCCATGCCTGGTGGTTCTCCTTTTGAATTTAAATATATATCCATGGTAAGCTTTATCTACTTCTTCCCTTCATGTAGGTATATGTCTCTTCATCTTCTTTTATGTACCTTTCACAACAGTACGTTTAGAATGGGTGTTTAGGTCAAAACAGCTCCCAGCTGTGTCTCCTTCTGGTATGAAGGCAAAGTTTCATGTTTGAAACAGATGAAGCCCTATAGGTACTATTACGGATATGCAGGCATTGATGCTGAGCAGTGTTTTTAAACAAAAACTTTATTCATGCAGGCATTGATGCTGAGCAGTGTTTTGAGGACAGAGCCAACAGGGGGAGCACAAGCATTACTTATCTTTTTGGCTGAATTAATAAAGCGGTGCTGCACCTTTTCAGTTTTTTGAGATTGTAAGATTATAGGATGAAGCTTTGTCTAAAACTGTTTGGTTTTTTTATTTTTTCTTTTTCTTGCTCCTGTTATTTTTATATCTGTATCAATAACTGATATATATGTTACAGGACCCAGCTAGCCCCTGCCTTGGGAAGCAGTGATCCTATCAGCTGTCTGGTCAGTCCTGGAAAATAGGGGAAGTCCTTGAAGCTTCGGCCTTTGCTCTGCTTTATCCGACTTCCTGCTTGATTGCAAGGAGGGGTCACAGGGAGTCTGACAGTAACTAAGGGCACAAGGGGTGCAGAGGAGGTTCCTTGTGGCCTTAGCAAGCACTTTCAGTTCCTTGTGGCCTTAGCAAGCACTTCCATTGGTATGATTTGGAGTTGCGTAGATGGGCCTTGAAATGCTACCTGTTACGCTCCCTCAAGTGAGAAGATGTGGTTGTGAAATAGGACCCAGAGAAACAGAAAGTTAAAGTGTGTGCAAGAGCAATGAGCCTTTGGGCATCCTCTACTGGCCCTCCATGCCTGCCCTGTCTTTCTGCCCAGAGGTTACAGCTGTAAGGAGGAAGGATTCCAGAAGACATTAAGAAAGGAGAATGGTTCTTCCTGTCAACACCTGTTTTTCTTTAAACAGACCTCGGCATAAGGACAGGGTAACCCTGGTTATACGTACAAATTGGGGGATGAGAAGCTGGAGAGCAGCGCCACGGAAAGAGATTTGGAGGTTCGGATTGATGGCTGCCCTGTCAGCCAAAAGGGCCAACCATGTCCTGGGGCACATCAAGCGCAGCATAGCTGGCTGTTTGATTGTCCCAATCTACACTTCAGTTTTGGGCACCTCAGTGTAAGATGTACATCAGACTAATTGAGTGTGTCCAGATGAGGGAGACCAAGATGGTGAGAGATCTTGAGGGCGAGACTTATGAGGAGCAGCTGAAGTTATTTGGTTTATTCAGCTTGGAGAAGAGAAGGCTGGGGGGTGACCTTATCACAGTCTAAAACTTCCTCAAGGGGGGTGGTGAGGGGGAGGTGCTGATCTCCTCTCTAGTGACCAGCGAGGAAATGGAATGAATCTTCATCAGGCTAAGTTCAGACTGGACATTAGGAAAAGGTTCTTCACTGAGAGGGTGGTTGCTTACTGGAGCAGGGTCCCCAGGGAAGTGGTCATGGCACCAAGCCTGTTGGACATCAAGGAGCATCTGGATTGGTCTTATGGTTTAGTTTTAGGTAGTCCTGTAAGGAGCAGGGAGTTGGACTTGATGATCCTTATGGGTCCTTTCCAACTTGAGATATTCTATGATTCTGTAATTGTGCTATGATTTTTTTTTTTTTATGAGAAAATTAGTTCATCATCCTTTTGCTTTAAAACCACCATTGCCATGAACAGAAAACAAAATGAAGTTTACTTTTACCTGTGTATCCTTACAGTAGGCTGGCAGAGGGAGAGACTATAGAGGGCGGCTATCGCTAATGAAATAAGAATAGATTGCAACAATTTCTGGGTTGGTCTTGAGGATTGGTGATTCAGCAACAGCTATTGGACTTAGTAGACAGTAATACAGTCTACAAATCTTTATGCCTTTACAGGCTAGTATAGACAGTTTACCCCACAAAACTCTAGGGTTTATTTTTATCAAATCAGATAAGCTTTGAATTTGTTTGCTGTAAAGGGTAATGTATTACAGTCCTTAAAAGCTGTTCCAAGGTTAATTAATCTCAAAATTTAACTGAACTCAGCAGGTACCTGTTATTTTTTTGTTACACTTTGCTCACCAATTTAAAAAGCCTATAATGTGGCTTGTTCATTCCAATTGTAAACTATAATTTTCAAAGTAAAATATTCGCTGTGCATTGTAAGGGAAGCTCAGAGTGTTGGGTATTAGACCTACACCTACGTTGAGATTTTCAGGTTTGCAACCACAGAAAAGAGGTGGTGGAGCAAAAGAATGCCTCTTTAGAGAAGGTTCATTGTTTAGCTGTGGGTATGATGTTTGTACATGTTGGAAATAAATCTTCAAGGAGGATCTGGTCTTTGGTTATTGTATAACATCATAGTTGTATATGAAAATTCTTTTCTCTAGCTAATGTATACTATTTGATATATACTTTTTGAAGATAAACATTCTCCTATGCAAGGAACAGATTTAACAGTACTTCAATGAAAATAATTTCCATGCAGAATTTATATTTCACCATACGTTTAATTATTTTCAGTGTACAACTGATCTTTCAGCAGATATGAACATTGTAATATGTTTTTTCTTTTTTTTTTTTAAACTCTAAAGTAAGGAAGTGTGTGATTCGGCCTGTGTTAAGGGAAGAAATGCTTATAATACACGACAGCAGTTCCCATTTACTGAACTGGGAGGCCATACAAATCTGGATAAAAAGGAAGTATGTTTTCATGTAAGGGCATTTCTTAAAGCCTTATCCTATTATCTGTCCTACTGTCTGAATGTACCTAGCTACATACTGTATGCTAGTCCAGAAATGAGGTTTAAAATGAAAGCGTGCCTTTAAAATTGTGAGAAGTAATACACGACCTTCTGAAACCTTCCTTCTTATTGTATCTCCTTATTAGCTCTGTACAATGTTGTAGGTGTCACATGATGTATCTGTTTTTTCCAGTGTATGGGGTATCTGTGCGATTTCTTCATGGCATGCCAACGCGTGTCAGAATATAGCAGAAATAATAGATGGAAATTGCTTAAGTGAATCTTTTTCCTTTAATGTATCTGGTTTACTGTTTTTTCTTTAATGAGGAAAATACTGCCTTTTTCATGCCATGTATATAAAAGTTACTCAAAATTAAATTTTAATGCATTGAGAAATTTAGAGATACTACAACAATCTTAATTTCAAGTCTTAATTTCAAGAGAGAAGGAAGAAAGTAAACTGCATGCATACCTAAACATCGTTAAACAAAAGTTGTAAAACTTTAATTGAAAGAAAAAGTTATAGCATTCTTCTAATAATGTTGCCACAGAAAACTTTATTCTTAAATGTCAACTCAAAACTAGTTTTTCTTATCATCCTGGCAGATCAGAAAGCTAAAACCGATTAACTGCAACATTTTTTCCTGTGTCATATTTTGATGAAACCATACTTTTCAGCAA